ACCATAGCTCTGATGATGGCTTTGTAAAGCCGAAAGCGCTCAGCTAAGAATTGCCTAAAATATACACACTTCAAAAATACTTTTTTACATTTTCTTTCGACTTGTCATAAGTGTGTACAAAAAATATCAGTCTTTTGATTCTTAATTGTTCTGCCATTTTTCTTGTTATTGCCATAGTTTCCAACCCATAAGATGCATCTGGTAGTATACAAGTGTTATAGGTTTTTCGTTTTAAGTGAATTGGGATTTTTTGTCTTTTAAAATGAAGCTCAACTTACCAAAAGCAGCCCATGACAATTGTGTCCTTCTTTTAATTTCTAGGGTTTGGTTTTCCTTTTCGTTTTTAATTGCATGGCCTATATATATATATATACAGGCCCGTTCCTAGGGTAGTGAACGCCTGCGTGCAGGATTTTTTGTGCGCCCCCATATTATGTTTCTAAGATACCTATATCATAACATGTTCTTGTGATATGATTGAAAATATGATATGAATGTAAAAAGAAAAATAAAACGAACCATGTTTGAAAAAAGGTTTTATTTTCAAAATTAAATGAAGAAAAAAGGTCATTTTAAAATAATATTATTATGTAAGTTAACAGTAAGAAAGAAAACACTCAATTCGCAAATTAATAAGGCATTCTGGAATATAACATGAAACAATAACGGAAAGGAGATACTCTCAATGCAAAAAAACTTTATTAAATAATACATATATACCAAGTGAAAAATAAAACAAATATTGAAATTACAAAATGACACGTCGTGCTTTCACAGATGCAAGCTCATTAATCATTTCATTGTGATCAATGGCTTCACAAATTTTATTTTCAATTGAAATGACTGCCAAATCTGATAGCCTTTCTTGGCACATTGACGTTCTTAAATAATTTTTTATGAGCTTTAGCTTTGAAAAACTCCTTTCGCCGGATGCCACCGAAATTGGAAGGGTCAGGAATATTCTCAAGGCTATAAATAGATTCGGAAACAAGGATTGTAAATTTTTCTTTGTTATATAATTTAAAACATCTATGGGCGAATCCGAAATTTTGCCAGAGTCTGTGATAGGGTTAAGAACTTTGTATGACAGAATTTCATTATGCAAATCAAGACCATCAATATCTTTGCATACGTTTCCTTCATGTTGAATTTGTAAAGCTAAATCCAAATCCATACATGATCTTTAAATCACATCACAATCTAGATTTTGAAAATTACCCAAAAATCCAAATAAATCGTGGCACTTATCTATTCCCTCAAAGCGTCTTTGTAGGGATTGAATTGTTGTGTACAAAATTTGAAAATAAAAACTGATCTTAAATTTTTGTTTTGGATCGAATACTGTTTCATCTGTACCTTCATACGAAAATTGAAGCTTCGTCTTTCTTTGTCTTAATGGAAATGTTTGTTCTACATCACTTTTTTCTGCTTGTGCTACAGCCTCATTCATGAAACTCTCGAAATGTTTGTCTGACCTTTTTTTAGTGAAATAAATAATAAGATTTTTTATTTCTTTATGGCATTCATTTAAAGTTGTATTTGGATTCTGGACCATTTTACTTACTATATTAATTTTTGTTAACACATCATGCCAAATTATAATAGAAAAAATGAATTTGAACGTTTTAGTTTGATCTAATAGTGACTTTGCTGAGTGTTTCGTGTTCATATCTCTTGAATTATCTTCCACCAAATCATGTAAACTTTTACAAATTTCGAGGAATTGAAACCTAAGAGGGCGAATGGCTTTGACTCTGCTTTCCCATCGTGTTTCACTTACTGATTTTAAAGTTAAGTTTGGTACATTCCTTTTTAAAATATCCCATCTGTAGGGTGAAGTAGAAAAAAAATTGAACAACTCCTGAATAATTGAAAAAAAACCTACAGTCTCATATGAAATTTTAGCTGCATCATTGACACTTAAATTAATAGTGTGAGCTGAACAAGGCAAAAACATTGCTCTGGGATTCATTTTTAGAATTTGAGCTTGAAGGCCCACATGCTTGCCAGACATATTTGCCCCATTGTCGTATCCCTGACCTCTCATGTCATCAAGGTTTATTTCAAATTTTGATAATAATTCTTCTTTTAAAAAATTGAAGAGCCCTTCTCCTGCAGTATTTAAAACTTTGAAAAAACCCAGAAAGTGTTCTCTAATTTCGACTTCATATGGAGAACAATAAACGAAGCGAATTATGACCGTCAGCTGCTCAACATGGCTAGCATCTGGAGATTCATCCAAAATAATTGAGTAATATTTTGCTGTTCTGAGACAACTCAGAATTTCTTTCTGAATATTTCTTGACAATAAATGAATTAATTCATTTTGGAAGTAATTGCTCAGGTAATGAGGCATATTTTGGCACAACTCTTTAGACCTTCGAATATTGCTCATGTGTTCCATCATAATTGGATCGAATTTAGCAATCATTTCAACTAACTTCAAAAAATTGCCATTATTAGTCTCATAAAGATTCGTACTGTCACCCCTAAAAGCTAAATTTTGGCCAACTAAATACTGCACAATACAAATCATTCTTTTAATGATTTCACGCCATCGCTGTTTTTCAATTTCATAATATTTTTATTGCTCTTTATCAATAGTACATTCTTTACTCAAACGCAATTTTAACTCGTGCCATTTTTGAGCGCTTTTCATATGTTCCATGCTATTTTCATGACGAGAAATATTAATAGAAAGGTGCCTCCAGTTAAAATAGCCGGTAGTTAATTTATGAGACAATGTGCTAAAAAGTTTACAGAAAATGCAGAATACGGCATTAATTTTTTTAGAATACACCAACCAGTCCCTCTTTACTTTTTCGCCGTTTGGCAACTTTCTTAAATATTGCGTGGATGAGAATTTTCTACCAGTTTCATCAACAGGAAAGGGGGTCGAAAGTAAACAACCAATTTTCACCCGGGCAGAAATTAAACAGGTAATCAATTTTTATCTGAAAATCAGAACAGTCACAAAAGGTAAACTTTCCAACTCTCAAAAATGTCAGAAGTGATGTTTTACATATATGATTGTAAATAATAGTATATTATATACATTCACAATGTATAATATTATACACTGAGTTGAAGTGTTTAATTCTTATCAAGAGAAACACATGGTTTACCGAGGCGCATAGTGTCGAGACAGGAATGAAACTTTTTCACCGAGGTTTGTATAGGTTGTACTGTTTTATTCAGAACCATATCTTCTAAATGCAAGTTTAAAAAAAAATCTAATAAAATGTAAACAAACATTTTGGTTATTCGTAGAATGTTAAAATTTACATGGGTGGAAAATTAATGTCATACACTTTTCATCCGGGTAAATGTCACTTTCCTCCTGGATAGATTTTAAAACTAAAAATTTGGTTTTTCAAACTTTTATAAAAGGTCTTCAATGTCAACATAACATACATGGTTGTAAATAAACATTGATACTTAACTGACCCGAAGAATAACTTTAAGGTTCTTAAACTGTTATTTAATTTAAATTTTAGTACTTTACTTATTTATGTTTATTTTATTTAAATAAATAAGTTAACTTATTTTACTTACATTTAGCAGTTTATTTGCCGCCTTAAACTTACAATTTACAATAAACTTGATGTATTTACAATAAACTTTAATGACAATGATATTGCGAACAGAACATCCTAACCCATAAGAAAAAATCTAAGAAGTGATTGCTTTAGCGCTTACCGGGGAAATACTGAACACTGACTTTTTTTGTTTTAGAAGAGAGAATATTTTTGTAATGGTAACCAAATATTTGGCGCCCCTAAAATTTAGCGCCTGCGTGCGGGGCATTCATTGCATACCCGCCAGGAACGGCCCTGTATATATATATATATATATATATATATATATATATATATATATATATATATATAAAAGGATCACTCAACAGAGTGTATATTGCAGAGTACAGAGTATATTGGAATTTGACGGTCGTACTCCTTTTTCCGATATATATATATATATATATATATATATATATATATATATATATATATATATATATATATAAATATATATATATAATCTTTGCAGATAAGTTAAATAGTAAACTATTAAATATTGGGGAAATCTGCAAGAAAAACTCTAATGTGTATCAATTATTTCGCCGAACGTTTTCGCCAAAGAGAATTAATTTGGCTTCTTTAGGGCTGAAAGAGAATAAATTGTAATTAGCTACCATATATTATCTAATAAAAACATTTATCTTACCGTAAATTTTAGAAATGTCGAGTTAGGATGTTAAAAGTTAGGTTTTTTAACATCCTAACTCGACGTTTCTAAAATTTACGGTAAGATAAATGTTTTTTATTAGATAATATATGGTAGCTAATTATAATTTATTCTCTTTCAGCCCTGAAGAAGCCAAATTAATTCTTTTTGGCGAAAACGTTCGGCGAAATAATTGATACACATTAGAGTTTTTCTTGCAGATTTCCCCAATATTTAAGTTTACTATATATATATATATATATATATATATATATATATATATATATATATATATATATGTATATATATATAAGTATATATATATATATATGTATATATATATAAGTATATATATATATATATATATATATATATATATATATATATATATATATATATATATATATATATATATATTGGTCTACCTTTTCTATATTGATGTTATCTATCGTGATGTTTTCTAGGCTGTTGCTTAATATCTTTGTTTTGTCGAGATTCATTTTTAATCCTATTTGATTCGATTTGTGATTTAAATCTTGTAGCATTGATTTCAGTTCATGGATGTCTGTGCTTATTAGTACTAAGTCGTCTGCGAAACGCAAATGGTTAAGATATACTCCATCTACTTTTAATCCCTTTTCGGCCCAATTTAGTTTTTTGATCGATTATAACGAGGTAATTAGTCTGCCATTTCAGTTCTCGTCATAGAAGGAGTCTACTGTATTTTTCTTTTTGACATTGTTTTTTTTAAATAGTTGTATTTTGTGTTTTAGGCAAACTCAGGTCTAATTTGATTGGAACTCAGTTTACAGTGTATGACAATGGCATATCTCCGCGCAAGGCAAATTTGAAGGATGGTGTAATTCCTAGACAAGAACTAGCTTCTGTTATTTATGACACCAATGTTTTAGGATTTAAAGGTCCTCGCAAGATGACTGTAATTATACCAGGGATGGTGGATGAACAAAGGGTTACCATATATCCTCAGGTAATTTCTTATAAAATTTGTTTGTTTCTGAAAAAACAAACATTCTCTTTTTCAGGATGAAAGTGAAGGTCTTATAGAATCATGGAAAGCTAAAAATATGGATAATATCACGGAATTACACAACAAGACACCAGTTTGGAACGACGAAACCCAGTCGTATGTTTTGAACTTTCACGGCAGAGTTACTCAAGCATCTGTTAAGAATTTTCAAATTGTTCATGACAGTGATACAGATTACGTTGTTATGCAGTTTGGTAGGGTTGCTGAAGATGTATTTACCATGGATTTCAGGTAAGTCTTAAATTCCCAATTAATTAATTTGATATTTCTAAATAAAAATCTAGGTATAAATGTTACCGCAAAAACCCGATTTCAATTAAAACCCGAACTTCATATGAAAAACCAGTCTTAACTAAGCTCTTTAGTCTGTTCTAGTTTTACCTAGTGAAAACTAGAACTATCAAATATTATCAGTTAATTCTAGTTGATCCTAAACATATTTTACTCAAAACTAGTTTTTACTAAACCATTTAATAATTTCCAGATTCAACTGAAACTCGGTAAATAATGTGCTACCCCGGTTATTTGTAAATAATTTCTCTAAAACGTAAAATACTGGAATAGGTAAAACAACTAGTTTAAATGATGCATTTACTTGAGCGCAAAAGACATAAATCTGAGTGCTTGTACAGCAGTAAATCTGAGTGTTTTTTGGATTTAAGAATAAAAAAAGTTGTATGAAATTATTTGTTTCTGCAGAACTGGCTATCGTCGCATTTAGAGTTGCATTGCCTTTCTTCTTGCAGAAGCATCTATTATTGTTGCAAGTCTTCTTGCATATAAATCCTTGACCTTCCCCTATGGCAGCACATCTAGCAGAAGTTTCCAAGGAAGTCTTTTTCGGGCACTTTTTTAGATGTCAAAAACCTTTCTTTAGATAATGTTAAATTTCTATCTGAAAAAAAAGTAAATAAAATGTCCAAGCATGGGCAAGTACATTGAGTACAAAACTATACAAACTACTCTTACAAATTCAATGTTTAACATTCGGTTACTGCAAATGGTAAATTATGGGAAGTAAATTATAGAAAGAGAAAGTTTTTTCGTTACACCACAACGTTTAACGTCACAAATAGAATTAGGCAGTGGCGGCTGGTGACTCAAAAATTTGGTAGTTCTGCAGTATTTTTTGCTTTTTTTTTTAATTCAATATCTTTTAATCGTTGTATTTTACAACGAGGCTTTTAGTTTGATATATTACATCATATATTTATTCATTATATATCTATTAAAAAATAATAAAGAACTTACCGATTTTCTTCTTTTCAAATTGAAGATAAATCCAATTATATCAAAAATAGCAATGGTACATTATGGCACACTAGTAATTGTTTTATAGTTTATGTTTTTAGTAGAATTTTATCGATAAATACGCGAAACTAAGTAATGCAAACGAAAAAACACTACAAACAAAATCGCCACAATAATAATTGCATTATAGGGTCTTAAAACCAACTACACACAGAGCCAAATATATTATTTTTCAACTTTTTCATTAAAGTTTGGTATTTGGTATTTCTAAGTTTTTTTTTCTACTGACAACATGGTTAATGCTACAAGTCGGTCTTCAGTCATGGAATTTCTCAAGAATGTTTTAATCCGTTTTAAACTCGAAAAGCACCTTTCAGCTTCTGCCGTACTCATGGGCACTGTAAATAGAATTTGAAGCAGTTTTACAGTTTCTTAAAAAGGCTCTGTTAAATTATTTTTCAATTAAAAATTTTAAAAAAGGTATTGCCCCATTAATGTCTCTACAGTCTCTTCTAAACTAAATAACAGATAATTCAGTCTTCAAGCGCTCCCTATCTAAATTTGGATATGAAGCGCAAGTCAGGCTTAAATTATCATCTAGGAAATTATCACAATAATTATTAAATTGCTCAGGATAAAGCAATTAAGTTGCAAGTAGGTGATTTTTAAAAGCAAATCTATCATTTGCACAATTTATGATTATATCAAAAACTTCGATAGATGCTCTCCGATGATCTATTGGACTGTTATCCTTCCGTAACCTTTTAGTTGGTAATGGTTCAACGCATAAACTAGAACCTTGGTCAATGGTATCATCTATTGAATTTCTAACTGAATTCATGTATCTTTCGAAATCTGTCACCTTTTTATTGATTTCCAAAGGATCCGTTTTAGTCTTTTGAAGGGCATTATACAAAACGTCTATTTGTGGCATTATGCGATGGAAAAATGTTAACCAAAAAACAAAATTTTGATCCACTAGTATTCTTCGAATGGAAGGCGCTGAACTATAGACAGCTGCCTTATCAAACGATTCTTCTATTTCTTCCATACATTCGATAAAAGAAGATCGATGTTCAAACACAACATTAACAGTTCGAATATTGAAGTTTCAGCGAGTTGGAGCGCCATGAGGAATTTTCTTTTGGACGATTTTATCTAAAACTGCCACTCGTTGTGGCGAATTTTTAAAAACGGTAGGGATTTCATTTAAATTTCCAAAAAAAGTCTAACTTGAGAGTTTTCGGAACAAGCCTTAAACATTATTAAATTTAATTGATGCGCGTAACAGTGTACAAAATGAGCAAATGGATATTTTTCTTTGATTTCTTTCATTTAATTTTGAAGGTACCAAATATGTCCAAAATCGTTATACCGGTGCTCCATTTCGACAATATCTAAATACTACAACCATTTGTGATTTTGCTGAAATGTCTGTAGTCTCGTCGGCCATGACAGCTAGATATGGAGATTCCCGAATTTCCTCCAAAATTTTATCCTGGCATAATTCCAACATGCAGTCCAAAATATCATTTTGAATTTCTTTAGAAATACCCTTAAAAACCGTCGATTCTTCCAAGTGTTGTGCTAAAGTTCTATCCAATTCAGCAGTAAAATTTATGAGGCCGCGAAAAATTCCAGGATTGTCGGATGTTTGTGTCTCGTCGTGTCCCCGAAGCGCCAATTCGAAAACACTACAAAATTTTATGTAGTCTATAATTTTTGAGAGAACATACCTATTTTTTGTTACAGCTTCATTGAATTTTTGAATATTTATCCAGTATGCAGAATCTAACTGTTCTTTAATATTCACGGAGCCTAATAAAGCATATTCCATTTGATTGTGCAAATGATGCTTAGAAGTTTCGTGCTTTTTTATTTTATCACTTAAATATACTAAGTCTGTTACACCAACTTGCGTCCATGACTTATCACCTCCAAAGAGTACACAAGGAAAACAGAAAAGAGCGTTTTTTCTATTGCAGCCACATATCCAACTATTTCTCGTATAAAATATCGCAATTAAATTGTCGTTTGTAATTTTTCCCTCGGCTTGATCCTTCTTTTTCGATTTTAATATCCGGCAAAGGACGTCCTTTGCATTTTAATTCTAGTTTTTCGTAATAAGAATATTTAAAGAATGTCATAACATTAATCAAATTATAAATAACATCCATCCTGAACAGCACTTTTATTCTCATATACTTAATATAAATAACGAATTACGTGCAGGACAACTTATTTTAACAGTCGTCGCGTCGCGATCACCGATTATTTAAAATTACAATAAACGTAGGTTTGTACACACTAGTTCGAACTGCGACAAATGCAGCTCAAATATTGCTTTCAGTCGTCGCCTTAAAAGTGTTGGCGAGGGGTTGAGCGGGTGTTATCGGGGATATCTTTAACAGTTCACAGCTCGGAGTAGCACCGGTCCGGTCAAATATGAGGGACTTGCTGTCGCCATGAGATGCGACGGATGACAGATTAAAATAAAGGCGGCCATGCACGAAAACCATCTAAATGAATTTAGAATTGATAAGTAGTGATTTTTTTATTTAATTTTCAAAGTAATTTTGTTTGGATTATTTTGGTGGTTCTGCAGCTCCGCAGCACTTATATACCAACCGCCACTGGAATTAGGTATATTTTATGAAAATAACTTTTACATCCCAATAGTCAGCATCAAGTATGTAACAGACTACAGTTCCCGGCCAAATTATTAGACGCATTCCTCTTTTTTAATAATTTAATTTGTTTTATAGGTATACCCGGTTCGCTATTCTCAGTCCGAACTGTCTAGTGATTTTAGTAATTATTTTTTTGCGAAGTTAGTTACTTTTTGACAGACTCGAAGTGGCTGGAAATTACTATACAACCAAGCATACGTGCTCTTAGTCAATATTAATGTAAACAAAAGTAAATAAAATAGAACTTTGCCGACAATCAATATTTATTTATTTACACCCTATAATGTATTGATAACAAATAATAAAATTATTTATTGTACAAAATAAAAAGGTGGGAATAAATTCTACAAAATTAAAAAGTCAAAGTGAGGTTAAATAAGACACAGCAAGTTCATTATGTTGTGACTAGGATGGAATCAATGATTAAATATTAACAGTTCATTGAATAGCATTAACATAAACTGTTGTTTTATTATCTTACAAAATAAGTGTACTTCCATATGCTAAAAGCAAATATTAGTAATTTGACTAGGCAAATTCCCTAACGAATTTAAAAACTTTAAGATGGTTGCATACATTTGGCGCAACTTAACAATATAAACTAACTTAGAATAACTTTTTTTATAAAATATATATTTTTATATATAATAAACACTTACTTTCTTCATACCTCCGATAAATTTCTAAACGAATTTGATTTTTGATACTATGATTTAAGTCAGTCGTTAATATTCTTTTGCGATTTTGCTTCTTTAAAGTGAGGGTTGTATTAGGCCCATCTTTATATTTCCGCACACTTTTTTCTGAGACTTTCAGACATTTGGATGTCAACTGAAATATTTTTGTTATTAAGAAAATTTGTATACTAACATTTACATAATTCGATAAATACATTTTAATGATCAACTTACCTCAACAGGGTTTTCATTCGGCAAATAATTAAAAAAAATGGTAGGCATTTTGAATAAACCTTTGTGCAGTTTCATTACCTTGTAACCTAGGAACAACATCCTTACTAATCTAAAAATATTACCTTTTAAAAAACATTTTATCATATTTATTAAGAAAAACTTACCAACGCATTAGCTGATGGAACAAATGGAAAACTTTGACTATCCATAATAATAAAATTTAAAATATAACTAACTAATTAACTGAATAGAACTAACAAAAGAATTAAACAAAGATAATAAAACAATAAAACTATATTAAATTAAATAAACAACGCGAATAATACAAATATTTACTACAATATTTTAAATTGTAAAAATTCATATATTATATTTTAAA